AGGTCTACCCAAGGTACATATACACCAAGTATCAAAGCATTCAGGCTTGTAGTTTTCAAGAAGAAGTCGAAAAAGTAAAACATTGACACGGACGACGACGGACAATCACTCATATGATAAGCTCCGCTCGACAAAGTCGACAGTGGAGCTAAAAAATAGTCTGTTTATAATCTGCACTTTCCTTCACAAGATTGAGACAAAAATAACCAAATTTTTTGAGTAAAAACTGAAAGTTTACTCAAACTGTTCTGTACTTTTTTGCAGACTATAAAGAGGACTATTTTGTAAATTTGTGATGAAACGAGGGAACTAGTGGTGAAACGGTTAAGTAGGAATCTTATTTTATCAATCCTTGATTAGACAAGGTAATACCAATAATGCACTAACAATCACACGCTGAAATGAAACCATACATACTTGGTGAGCAAGCTCATGGGAAACTACCACGGCAACTCTTTGTTTATTTGTTGCTGACGACACATCTGGGTCATATAGAAGAGCGGTCTCCCGATACAAAATCAGACCCCAGTTTTCCATCGCACCGGCGGCAAAGTCTGGTACGGCGGCCATGTCTGAAACCATCAGCGAATAACATATTAGAGAATTGTTTGCACTGACAACTCAATAAAACAGTGACATATACTCTCCTTAAATATGACATCATCACTTTGTGTGCTACATTAATTTATATGTATGACATCATCACTTTGTAAAATATCATATCATCACTAAATATGACATCATCAACATAAATATCATCACTTTGTGTTTTCTATGTATGACATCATCACTTTGTGTATCACATCACTCAATAAGTATGTCATCACTTTGTGAAACACATCACATATGTATGATGTCATCACAGTATCACATCAATTTATATGTATGATATCATCACTTTGTGTATTACATTATATGCTGACATCATCACTTTGTGTGTACATATGCAAAAGATTGAATAAAGAATTCCTTGTGTTCTTACCTTGTTTGGGAAGTGGGTAAGGGATATCAAAGTATTCTTCAAAGTAGTTGATGATAGTGACACCAGCGTCCAATGCGTACTCCATTGTATGTTTCATTTCATCTCGAGCACAGACACGTAACTGTAATAATTAATAATCTTAATTAACATTTCCATGGTGTCTTGGGGCTACCTAGGTGTTCTGGGGCTCCCTAGGTGTCTTGGGACTCCTTAGGTGTATTGGGGCTCCCTAGGTGTCTTAGGGCTCCTTAGTTGTCTTGGAACTCATTTGTTGTCTTGGGACTATTTAAGTGCCTTGGGTATCCTTAGGTGTTTTGGGGCTCCTTTGTGTCTTGGGGTCCCTAGGTACCTAACTTAATTTGAATTTTAAACTTAGCAAAGAGAATGAAGTGCTGTGTCCAGTTTACTGTCTTTAGGAGTTCTATGTGTGTCTAGTTGAATAGCTAGGAAGACCAATATGGTCAGGCAACTTTCCAGTGAAAGTGTAGTGAATTTATGGCTTTTGTCTAAACTGCCATGCACATTTGTACATTTATCATGTCACGCATTTGTCACACTCACACCATATTAGGTCACTCAGGGTGGCAACTGGACTGCCCCGAGCATGGTAATTAATATTTGACGTATTAAATCATTTCATTAAAAATAATCTATAAGGGTGATTATAAAAGATTGGAAGGTGATGTTTGTGTTTAGAACACCACTGCTGCAGTTGAAACGTCTGAAGTTATTTACAAGATTGTACCTGATTGGCTACCTAATCCTAACATCTAACAGTCAGACCAATCAGAGAGCAGCTTGTTTGTTGGCAGGTTTTATCAACCAATCAAATTTTGCCTTATATATATGCTTTGACACCACTAAAAATAGTGATTGAAGTCATACTGTATGTACTTACAATGCAATTATCGTTATTGCAAGCTGGTCTCTGTTCGCATACCAAGTCACTGACGACAAACGCTAAGAGATAGGTAGACATCTTCACAGTCGTTTCATAGGTCGTGGTGTTCCAGTCGCCATTGGTTACCTGGTTCTTGATTGGCATATTCGACATGGCGGTTCTCTTCGTGCGGTGTTCTAAGGTAATGTCAAACGTGGCTTTCAAAGCTGGTTCATCGAAACATGGAAATGCTTTCCTTGCATCTGTGGCTTGGAATTGAGTTGTAGCAAGCCAACTGGAGAAGATAAGAAAATATATAATGTATGTCCTCTAATAAGACTAATTTTGTAACAGTGCCCTCTACAGGACTGATTTTGTAGCAGCGCCCTCTAAAAGATTGATTTTGTAATGGCGCCCTCTACAGGACTGATGTAACGGCGCCCTCTACAGGACTGATTTTGTAGTGGAGCCTCCATGAAAATGATTTTGTAGGAGTGCTCTCTACTGGACTCACAGAGATGTGATGGGTGCGCCCAGGGGAGGGTCTCTGAATGAAATATGGTATGCAAGCCGAAGTAAAAAAAAAACGTGTAAAAAAGGTGTTATTTAGTCATTTGACGCGTATATGCGTGTACTGTGTTTTGGGTCGAATATTTTAGATGCAACTTAGAAAATAGTAATAAAGTGTGAAAAAAGGAAGTCATGAATTCATGTTACCTCAACTTGGAAACAGTATAATTTTAGTATGTATATAGGGTATCTATTTTAGGTTTCTGCACTTGAAAAGGGGTATAATTTTACAACGTTTCCACGGGGAGGGGGTGAACACGAAATGCGTCGAAAACGTTGGTACCATAAACCATCTCTTTTTACCTCCATGCATGAACTAAATATCTCGCTAACACTTCCTTAGGGCCCTTACCCATAACTCTAATACTAACCTCCAGTACCCAACTTCCCCATTTCAATTATATATATCGTCGTTGGGTCACTTATATCATGGAACTATAAGGGGTTTATAGTTCCATGCTTATATATATTTGAAGGGGCATATTGAATTACAGTGAGGGGGGCTGGAGTGTTAAGGTCAGGGTATCAGGTTAGCAATGAGGGACCTTATCTCCTCCACACATCCAAAGACACGGGTGCTCGTGTGACCTTATATAACCCCTTACACAGCTCTAACTACACCAACACAGACAACTAAATGTAAAACATTACCGAGCATAGCGATCGGCTGTGGCACGTTCATAATCTTGTCGACAACTTGAATTCCCGACAGCACGATGTCTGCTAATCCACAAGCCGCCATTTTGAAAAAGAGCGGTGAAAAACTGGAAACAGCGCCGTCAGATGATCATCTAACAGACACCTTTTGTTTTCTTAGAGTTTCGCAAACTTTATTAGTGTTACTACAAATGAGTTATTCAATGATTTATTCAATAGATTTTACATTTTCTATTTTCGCTAGTAAGTAATGTCTACGAATTTAAACCTACGTGAATATGTAATAATACAACAGAGCACAGCGTTCATCTAGCTAATCCGTAATTTGCAATTTTACTTTATATAAAAAAGTGAAATTCCATTCCAGTGAAAATTTATATTTTTTACAATATCCATGCGTTCGCATTTTGTGTGAAATAAACAACATAGTTCACCCGTATACGTTGATATGCGTAGTGTGGGACACATATCGAACGCACGTGGTCGTCCGCTTCATATACTTTTATGTAATCTGACCAAGACGCACTACTTTCTCTCAAACCTGTAACCCTAGATCGTAGTCTAAACATCCGGGTAAGCCGGCGCACGAGTAGTTGATGGGTTGAAAATAGAGCGCGGACCGCGTGTGAGGCAAACGACCAAGTATTTCTGGGCGTTGTTCCGCTATTTACGAGCCCCGTATATCTAGATCATGCAAAAGAGGAAACAACTTGATTGATGAGTATGTTTTATGTTTACTTGCGGTTTAGGAACGACTCGGGGGTAATACAAGTATTGGCCTTACTGCGATACACTCCCCAATCACCCGGCAATCTTAATCTAATGTGTTTTAACTGTCGTTTGAGTGTTGTTTGTAGATTGCATGACCTGAATTCCCGCAGTTGTGCGAGAGTTTTTTATATTTACAATGTATGTCAAAACATTTTGCTTCGCTTGAAACGTTATACGCGTCGTTGTGCTTAGAAAGTTGCATGCTTGCGGGTTTCAGTAACAATATGTCCGAGTACGTATTCAAATCTGCCATCTTGTCACACCCTCGTTCGCGATATCATGGTCGACCATGGTTTTATAATCACAAAAAAACAGTCTAAACATCTGTCTATCGTAGTACAACTTGACGCAAGCGTGTTTCATTTGAATTTCTGGATAGGGGTACAGACGAATGATACAAATTAGAGCATGCGCAATCGAATGACGTATGGTGGCGCGACTTCGACCAAGAGCAAGATTCAGAACTCGGCTTCAGCGTATCAAATTCCGCCTTGCAACTGACGGTCTCAGTCACCATTTGCTATTTGACTAATTTAAAGATACATTAAACAAACAAACAAATATTATTTGCCTAGATGTAACTGACTTTATGAGTTGTTTCGCCCCCCCCCCAAACAAGAGAGCCGTTCAAACAGTGATTTGATGGTATTGACGTGATTGATTGATTGATTGATTGGCAATTCAACAAGTCTAAATTTGTTCTTTTTTGTTTTTACCGACTTATCATCAAGGTCGTTACACTGAAGCCCTAGAAGTGTTTGTTTATAAAAGCCCCCCCCCCCAAAAAAAAACAAAAAACGATGACTTCGAGACCTGGGGTAATAAACTTACTTTATTACCCTTGACTGTAATAAACTATACGGTAAGTATTAAGCAATTCTTAAGACAATTTTCGGTGTGTCAACTTCCTCTTCGTTAAACAGAGCCCAACGGCACTAACAGTATGCATGTAAAAGTTTCTAATCACCTAAATGAAAAGTTTCGTTCAATATGATCCGTATACCAGAAATAAATGAGGTATTTTTTAAAAAAAATTAAGAATTCACGAATCACAAACCCTTGCGCCACCTCTCAGACGCACGTGGCTTCCATTTCATTCATGGATGCGATCTTGTTACAAAAAATAGTATGATGATTATTAGGGATTGTCCATTAGAATTCCTTGAGGGTGAAGCTGGAACTATTATTGTGCAAATTATTTTTTTTCCTTCATCCAGTTTCGAGCTACTTTTTACAATGATTTTGTATGTGTGGATTTTTTTTTTATAAATATTTTCTGCAATTTTATTCTCCCCTGTGCAAATTTGTCAACCGCTTATACCAGGAAAAAAAAAACACTTTTGAATTCCCTAAAAAGTGTAAAAAAAATATAACCGAGGCAAAATTGATAATTGTATCCCATCTTCATTACGTTGTTGATCAGCAAATGGTTTCAGGGAATGAATAAGCGACTGGGGTGCAGTTGAGTCGAAAAATTTATGCAACGAAGAATTTAATACGCCGAAAAAAGATGCTTTGTGATTGGTCTGACTGTTAGGTGTTAGGGTTGAGTAGCCAATGGAACACACTCTTGTATAGTTTCGCAATGACTCAGGGTCGCATCTTGTGTCAACTTCAAACAGGTACACGACGCGCGTAATCTCAGATTATGGGATAAACCGTCACCTGCGCATGCGTCAGATGGCCATAGCGTGTCATTGTTTACAAACAAGCGTCTACCCATGAGCATTTGCGGTTTTTAGCGTGTGTTGTTATCGTCGCTTGGGACTCGATTCCCGCGCGTGCCAGTTGACGACCCTCCCGCTTTAACAGATATTGCTTGCTTTCAAGTTGATGGCGACCGGCGCGGCATGGCGTCTCCGTGGTGTTATGAGCTGTCGTGTTGAATGTATGAGAGTGTCAACAAACATTGCAACGGTTATTGTCAGTGTCAAGATAACATTGCGGTTATTGTCAGTGTCAAGTCTGTAAATTACCAATGACTTTGACGTTAACTTGATCGGACGGCGTGTTGAGTCTGGCATCGTATCGGATACCATGCATTTGTGGATTAGATGTCAGCTAGTATGTCATATAGTTTAAGGGATACACCATCATTGCTAGTGGGTGGGTGGAAATAAATGTTCAGTGAGACGTTCTTCTCTGTGGCTAAATCCGCCATTCATATAAATCGCGCCCTCTAGTGACGGAACGCTTCTGTGACGTCAAAATGGCGTATATGATTGAAGATTATGTCGTTGAAATCGAAAACTGTATTTGGTTGTTTAGTCGTTTTTCATCTAAAATATAGTCAAATTTCCTAATAAAAGTAATCTTCATTGATGCACGACGATAACAGCATTTGACGTCACCCATTTACGTTATTGTTGTTGTTGTTGGTACGTAAGATGATGCGGACCTACTTATTGAGTGTGAACCACGCATTCAGAACGCGCGCCGTGAAACCGAGGGAAGAAAGACGGTCGGCAGTCTGCCCTGGTGGTCCGTGTCGTCACAGCGGGCAAGAGATTACACTTGACATTGTACTTGTCTTGATATCATTAACTAATGGAAGTCAATGCCTTTATCTAATTCGAACTGTCCTCTAATTGGGTGAAAGTTTCTATTTTTAGAAACGACGGTTTTGGAACGTATTGCGAGTCGGTTCAAACTACACGGCGACGCTCTCCGACTTCTTAAAAACAACCAACGACGTCTCTACTACTAACAAAACACGTATGTTTTAACGTACACCGGAATAATGACGACGCAGATCGCCACGGTGTGGCAACAACAACTTCGTGAGCCAAGGTTCGGATGATACTAAGAGTCCCGGGCACCAAGCATGTAAGGTCACGTTGAACACCGTGTAAAATACGGCCATACTGATAAAATTCCATGTTTTATGATCGTATAGTTAATTTATGCTTTTGAAAAAAACAAAAAAACAGCTAAGGTTTTCGGGGTTCTTTCGTCTAAATTGCGGATCATTTCGGTGAATTCCGTCGTTTCTGATTGAGTTTTCAACAACTAACAGCGTTTACACTGAAGTCATCTTCGCCGTATGTCCGCATTTAATTCGCTTCACGCGCTGAGAGAAGTCCCGTGGTAACGACAATTCTATTCACAGTAACTACCCAGTCATCATGATGCGCTATTATATATTTACTGTTACACCCTAGAACACGTGTAATACCGTGTAAGTTATCGCGTGGTGGGGTTTCGTGACATTTTACAATAATATAATAGTACCTTTGGCCCGTCCCCGAGTCTCGAGGTCAACTTTGTTTTCCATGCTCCCATCGTGTAGTGTTTTCT